GGAATCCTCCCTCCACCCTTGAAAATCTCCTCTGAGATCGCGGCGAGGCCAGTGTCTGGGCGCCGCGCGGTCTGGTATGGCGAGGAACACCTCTGCGCGAATATCGTACTGCGTCTTTATTATTTATACTCCTCGGAAGTAAGAACCGAGTAAACATCAAGGGCTGCGTCGGGGGCTTCCCGCGAGGACGAGCTGGTCCTTCCTCGGGTCTGGATGTGGACGGTTCCATTCCAGTCTGCAACATCGACAGAAACGGTCATTAGGGCCTTTGTGTTCGTCCCGAGTGATGACAGGAAGCCTAAAAATCTATCAACGACTCGAGCCGCCCTCCAGGCTCGAATCCAAGGGCGGGGTCGTGTCCGGTGAAACGCTGAGAGACCCAACGCCACTATTCCCCACACAACAAAAAAAAAAAAAAAAAAAAAAAAAAAGAAAAGGAAGAAGGAAAACCTTACTCTCTGAGACGTGAGGCTGATGCCGAAATCCGTTTCGATTGCCTGAAAAATGCCGATCGGACGAAGTTGCTTCTGGCGTTCGAAGGTTTTCTGTTTGAAGCGAAAGAAGTTTCGGTGGCTTCATCAGAAAAGTGAGTTTTTATATGGGGATTGCGAATCGACGGTTACCACCTTTGGAACTGAAACGACAGCCCACTCTCCTCTCCCGCATTAAATGCGCCCCACGTCGCATTAAAGACGCAGTAATGGCCTGTTTCGGTTACGCTGCGCCATAACACTGTCAAACGGTGCCAGCTCAGCACGCAGAGCATTTAATGTGCCTGACAGCTTTAGCGCGCGCAGACCGCATGGCAGCGTGAAACCAGGTTCGTTGAACTGTACAGAGGAGCGCCCCTCAGATCCAGGTCGCTAAGGTGGAGATTGTCAGGTCGCCTGACTGAGGACTGCATGAGGTCGTTGTCGCCAGAGTCTGTACCGGCTCTTCCGTTCAGGTCGGGGCGAGTAAACTTCAGCGTAACTTAGTTTCCAAGGTGACCTTCGAACTTAAAAACTAGGGGGCTTCTGTTAGCCTAAGAAAATAAAGGGCTGACGTGGGAAGAGTCACGTGAAGGACACACCTGCTCCCGTCAGAGCAGCCCGCACACGTCAGGCCTGCCAAGTGATGTGGAGCCCACACGCGTCCATTCTCCTGCCACAGTCGTACGATGTCAGCTGGAACACGGGAAATGGGACATAAAGCCGGATTATATACTGACAATCACACCAAACCACGGATTTAGCAATGATTATACGTTTCGATTCAGTATAAAATAGGGAAGACCCCTTCATTAAGGGGATTCGGCCATTTTACATACAAAAGAACAAACGGAAATCTCTCTCTTGTAAACTTTGCTTTGACTTTTTCGTCTGATGTAAGTCAGCTCGCGACCGCGACCTGACACCCACCAATATCAATACCAATCAGTGGACGTAGGACTTGCTATCTTAGCATCCGAACCACTTAAAAACTCCCTCTACAGCTATTTTACTTTTCGGATATTCTATTTTCACGTGCATCAAACAGTCACTTGATATCATACACGTAAAAATTCGTTGGTGTAAAAACGAGCATCAACAAATAGGAATAAAAATATAGAGTATAGGAATTTGGAAAGGAGGAAATTGGAATAAAATTATGGTGTATCGGAATTTGGAAAGGAGAAATAAGTTATTTGAGGAAAACAAATTTACATATTATCAAAATGGAAAAATGGCAAGTGAAATTTATCCGAAAAGAAAAATAGAAATGATGACGTTAAGATAGAAATTTAGAAGGAAAAATATTATAGAAAGGTAATTTTGGATTGAAATGTACAATATATATAAATCTGAATTATTATTGGAGTTTAGAAAGAGATTTCATAAGGCTTAAATAATATGACTCTTTGACTATAATTTACTATATTTAATAAATAGCGGTAATTGGTAAAAGAGTGGGTGTACTTAGCAAGCATTTTATTTTTTCATTAAAAAAAAAAACAATATCATTTTAGTCTTTCACTTCAACTCCTCAAAAATCTCTCATATACAACCTTCTTCATTTTCTTCCATGATCAAATCTTTTGTGTTTCCATCTATCAATCATATTTCAGTTATGCTCTTATCTTAAAGCTACTATCCTCTTCAATTTTAAGCTGCCTAAAAATTACCTTTCTTTTTCAAAATTACTAGTGTACTCAAACTTTTTAATACCATCTCCTCATGATTGAGTAGAGAAATTTTTTTTTCAGAAATCATCATCAATCTTTCAATAAATAAAGAAGAAATTATTTTATAAACCCTATCATTTATTTGAAATAGATGTTTATCCTATTTGATTTATACATCCTTATTTAACTTTTGAATTGATAGATTCTTAGATTTGTTGGGGTTAGATTTTTTTTATTTTATTTTTTATTATTATTATTATTAATGAGGATGCCTTTCAATTAAAAATAAAAGATTGTTTTAAAATTTAAAATTGCTTTTTAATTTAATACAAATTAAAATTACAATTTTGCCTTCTTTTAAATGGATGATGAGGAGAGGAGCTACTAATAAAATTAATAGGGCAAAATCCGAGGGCATCCAGTGGCCCAAAACTCATCCCTACCAAGATAGTTACAAGGCCCATAGGCTCATTCATAGCCGTTGACCCGCCCGAAAATTCACGGAATGCTCCTCTCAGGCTCACCTTCTTAGATTTTTTTAATTTGTTGAACTTAGCTAGGCAAGATTTGACTAAAGCTGATAATAAAAAAAGCTAGGGAGTGACAGTTCAGAATGATTCTACTACTAGTAGCTAGGTAGAAGACCACCATCATTTGGTCATCTAAAATCATCACATATTATTCTTTTTCTTATTCTTTCAAAATGCTAATTCAAATACAATTATTTAATCTTTTGATTAGTTTGATATATGTAATTTACTTTACGCCCTGACCTGACACACAAATATTTATATTTAATGTGCGTATTATTGAGAATATCTAAACCATATATAGGCTTCATATATTCAATTATAATTTGGAAAGAATACAGCTTCTGATATGAGAATTGTTCATGGCATGCACTTCATTACTCAAAGATGACTTTATAGCTTTTCTTATTGAATTTTGAAGCCTTTTCTTAGTACTTGTTTTCAACTCATTGCATCTATCTATATATCTAATCCTGTTGAAATTTGCTTTTCAGGCCATGTCCACAACAAGCCCCACCTTCTTCTCAGTATGCCTTGAAGAACCACAATTATATTAGTTCCACATAATATATATATATATATATATATATATATTTTACTCTACGTCAGAATTTCAACTCTCATAATGAATCAACATACTGAAATATACATTTTTACTTCAGCTTTATGTTCTGTCTTGCAAACCAAACTATTCTATGGAAAGACAGTTTATTTTATTATGTAACAGTGATTCCCATTAAAAGATGTTTATTACCTTTTTCTCGAGAACTTCAAACCTAGAGGGACCTTTGAATCTAGCTTGTGCAACAAACCCAGTAAACATGAATTAATTATATACTCTTACGGATAATTAAATTCAGCTTAAAACAGGTCTTATTTCTCTTTTGATACCATTTTTATTATAAGATTTAATTCATTAAGATACGAGAAATCTTACCAGCTAAAACTATGTACTATATCATTGGTTAATAAGGTTATATTTAGCAAGTTTTTGTTGACTGAAAACATATATTGTTTTATTCCGAAGCATCTCATCAACTCAAACTAATAATCCAAGATGAAAATAATGGGCCATAATAATTAAGTTGTTGAATATTATATCTCCAGTGAAGAACGACTTGGATTCTTCTGAGAATCTCATAATGAGACACGGACATGAAGGCAGAATTCTCAAAATTTTGGACGCACAAATTGAACTGTATATTGAAAAGGTAACAAATTGGCTGGCTTAATTTAATTTCATACTATTGGTGGGGTGGCCAACTGTGATTTTTTGGATCTAGAAATTAATGCGATGAAAATGTGTTGAAACTTGAAATATTTTTGTTTCCAAATGAGGAACTCTCAGTGATCTTGTTCCCAGCTGTGATGCAATAGCTTGAAAACAAATGGAAGAAGGTATCATGAATTTAGGGCTTTTGTTGTCTACTTTTCGAGAGAGGCCCACATTGATGGACAAGGTGGTGGGTTAATTTTGAGTTTCAGGTTCTCCTTTTCAGATATATAAACTTAAAACAGAGTGAAGTGGGGAAGAGTTGCGTCACCGGGAAACATTTGCCCCACTGCTCACCTTGGATCTTTCTCCAAGATTGATGATGACCACTGTGACCCAGATCCAAGAGTTTAAAGTAGAGGGAAGGTCATGATAGTGAGATATATGTGAAGAATACCTTTATTACATTCATCAAATAAATAAAATTTTGCTATGTATAACAGACATCCATTTTCAAAACTATATTTCAATACCAGTAGCAATTAGGTAGATTACTGAGAAAATTGAAAAAGAATCATACCCTATTTTTTTCACAATTCTTTTATATTAGTTATAAACATATATATCAAACAAATCAAATGGAATTTTAATTTAAAGAGTACCAAACCGAAGATATGAAAAGAGTAATGTTATCTTTTCAGAAAAAAAAAAAAAAAGAGTAACGTTGTACTTATTTTTATTAAGTATTCCGAATTATTGTAATCCTGTAACACGTATAATTACATGCATCATATTCTTTATTTGATTTTGAAAACTAGCGTTCAAGTTACTCAAGGTATAGATGAAATATTTACTTTTGAAATTTACTATTGAGAGATCTAAAATAGTGTTTATTACAAATGAAATGTGATACCATTAACGCGAAAAATAAATACATAATATAATAGAATTCACAAGGATCTAAGACTTTTCCAGCATTCAAAGTGATCAGTAGAGAAATATTTAAATTTAAAACATCTTATCATATATATAGCATACATAATTCCTACAATATAGAAAAAGGAAAATACAAATATGTTTCAATTAGGTACACTCCTGAATAACAGTTTACATATTAGAAGATGAAATTAAGGTTGTGATCTAAGTTAAAGCTGCATACATCTTCTTCAATTCTACCCACCATCTCATTTACTGCAGCTGCAATCTCATTCACCGATCTCAGTTGACAAATTTCTTCTACCTGCCATCTCAATCCATATATATAACACAATTACAAAAACTTAATAATTTTATTTGTAATCTTTTTTGTGTTCTAAGACAAAAGGAACTAACCTTAACACTGAAAGAGTATAGTATCTTATGATCAGCAGTTGTGACATTAAGGTGAAGAACATGAAATCCAAGAGAAATCAACCCACTGACGATCTTCACGAGCTGTTTCGGGTGTCGATTTGTCATTATTTTAAGGTTGGCATGAGTTTCCACCAGCGTTACTTCAACATCTGCCACTGCATCGGAAGGAGTCTCCGCCATTGATTCATCCATTGACATGTTGTGGAGGGTTGAGTACTGTGGAAACGAAAAGAAATCTGAGAAAATGAGAGTAGAGAACCCAACATCTGATAGTTTTTGTTGATTTCGCTTTTGAACTTCAAGAGATTGTAGAAGTTGCTCCAGCTCCTTCACATAGTTAATCGCTCCCCCAACAATTGACGCCTGGTCTCCCTGCATACACACACCACACCAGTCACTGAGAGGCCTAAAAAGAATTAATATCTTTGTATTCAAATGGATGTTTGATGTTTACCCTTTGGATATAAGAGGGTGGCATGAGAGAGCGAAGAGCATTAAGATAGTCATTCATTTGCTTTCTCCGGTTGCGTTCAACAGTAATGTGAGTCATCCTTTGGTTCTCAAGTTCCTCTTTGTTCTTGTTGCTTCTGTTGGCACGTCTTCTCTTTCTCCGCCCCGTTGAGCTTTCCGTCGGAGCTAGAGCTTCCACAGGACTAAAGTCTCCGGTAAAGAAGCCGCCATCACAACTCTGCTGCATCACTGAAGAGTAGTTGGAATCCACACTATTATTAAAACCAAACCCTCCTCCATTTTGGACAAGAGCTCCATAATTTGCTGAAAATTCTTCTTCAAAACCAAAAGTATTTGAATTAATAAAGCCATAGCTACACGGTTCTTGTTGGGAAACAACGGCTTCTAATGCCATTGTCTCTATCAGTGTTTTAGCCAATTAAAACACAACTAACAACAAATAATTTGGAACAAACTCAAACTTTTGGCTCTCACCGTCTAGTCTTCTTCTCTTTTAAAGTGCTTAATCTTCTGATATGCATACACCAAGTTGCACGAGAGATCTTGTTTAGGTGTCAGAGAGAAAGATTCTCTTGTTATTTTATATGTATAAAATATATATTACATGTACTAAATTCCTTCAGTCCCATTGTGTTTTCTTGTTATTAGAAGTTTAAAATACAGCAAGTAGTAGTATTAGAGAATAATTTGTTTTAGTCTTAGATTACTACAAAAAATTGTCACACTTTGAAATTAGAGGTCAATCAAATCTCATACAGTTGTTGTTGATGATTGATCATTATGAATTAAAGATGCTCGCTTCTGGGTCTAATATTCCTGTCATTGGTAATAATTCTAGATTCTCGAAAGGGTTGCTTTTGTTTCATTTGGTCATAGTAACTTCAAGTGTTTAAATGCAAGAGTGTGGAAGATGAAAGAGAGTGGGGGAACGAGACAAAATGGGAAAAGAAAGGGAGAGAATTGCAAGGAAAAAGCAAGAGTCAGGAGGGTGTCTGGGTAGAGAATCCATGAAGCTACAATTAACATTAACAAAACTCAAGGGGGAGCAGTCTCTGGAATCATATACCATAAAGACTAAGTTACTCCCTTTCCAAGAAACTTATTACTGCCACCATGTGTCTTTCTACTTTTCCCATTTGCGTTTAACACCATCCATCGTCTTCCTTTTTCTATCATTATTATAATTATTATTTAATCCTTCTATGCTATAACCCCATTTCCATGAAAACATTCCCATAACTCATTCTCCATCGCACATTAATATGTATATTTTTCTGTACATACATTATTTAATTGCTCATGGCTACCTTTTCAAAGATAATCTATTTTACATCTATCCATATTTGTTGTATGATCCATATCCACTCATCTTTATTAGTTATTAATTTTAGTCTTGTATTCTCAAGCCTCAAGTGAAGATTGTGTAGAGGCTAACTATAGTTCAGTATAAATTAAGACTGAATATCTTACACAATTAATTAACAAAATCATATTCTTGAAATATTGGAGTTTGGTATGTTTGTATATACAAATACTAGATTATCAAATGATGGCTAGATGGCTAGAGGCACTGTAATTTGAAATCATTTTTACAAGGTTACAACAAGAGGGTTCTTCTTTTGGACTAGCATTCATGAATTGAACGATTATATACCAAGGGCCAGTCTCATTTTTCATTTAGGAAATAATATAAAGTAGTGATTTGTAGTTGATGCAAATGAATATAATTAAAAGGAATAAACAAACTGAAGTGTATACGTGATGGTAATGGAAAGTTATTTTCTTTGAGAAAATAATTATTATTTCATTTAAATATTATTTAAATCGATGAGTCACTTGAAAGAAATATTGAAAACTGAAATGACTTGGATTTGATTCTAATGAGATATATAGTCAAAGGCTGTACAAAGACTGCATGTGTTATTAAATCTATTTGGATGAAATAGCCGAATGATGGATGTAATAATTTTTCTCAGGAAATCTAATGTACTACTTAATTTCGATTTCTTTTCTTTATATGCCCCAACTGTCTTTGCAACAAATACCAAGATTAATTATACGGCCAAATCTCAGAAGAAAAGTCAGGATAATATCATGTATCTAACTGCCAATCTTTGAATGTATCCCTTTAATCATTATTTATGAGATACGTTATATTGTTGAAGTTTTAATTAACTTGATTTTTTGTAGAACGCATTAATATAAATGAGCATCTGGTCTAACTCAGGTTTACCTAATTTAAGATGTTGAAATTATTTTTCTTAAACAAGGTTCAAGTCAAAGCTACCGTAGCAGGTTATTTCAGCATACCATGCAGAGAAATGCTTTTGCTGACTCTTAATTTGTAGTTACCTGCTGGTTTTGAAGTAAACATTGACAACATAAAACTTGTTTACACGTCTACATTTTTTTCTTTTATATAACTCTTACCTTTTATTTTTGATATAGGATTATGCTTTCTAACTTGATCACATGTGACCAAACAAAAATAGAAATCATTAATTCTTTTTGAACAAATGTCGTGTCACAGCATGCATGAATTGTCAAGGAAGATCTCCAGTTAGGCTTTTCTAAAAACATAAAATGTTTTCTTCTAACCCACAAGTTAAAGCTCAAATTTATGATTATATATATAGATTCACAAACCTTTAGGGCTTTCAAGGGATGCAATTGTGAAAGGACTATTGAGAGCGTCAGTATAGCTATAACAATACTCTTAACACTGTTTCCTTAATATACAAATTATTATAATTTTAGAAATGTATATATTTTTTATACACTCTAAAAAAATTGGTATATTGCTTGTCACAAGTATATTATCTGATACTTTGAGAATGCTACAACTCTCTCATTAAATAAAGTGGCTGTATAGTTTTTGTCATTGGTTAATGTGTAAAAGAACATTATAAAATTAAAGGCATAATACACTCTATTTATGTGATGCCTCTTAACCATTGCAATTCTTGATTGACCCTAGGCCGAATGACGGAAGCAAAACCATGGATTTGTTCTGAGTTTCGGTTTAACTTAAAAATTAATTTATTGCTGGTATTGGCCAGAGCGATTTTTATATCATATTTATTGCAAATAAACCGTAGATTGCGGCCCTTAGATTCTGGGTGGGTACCTGTCATTATATTTTTCTTTTCCATATTTGGTACTACTAACTAAAATTGAATTAATTAACTTTTGCTTAATTGGTTGCCAGTTGTTTGCTCTTGGTAATTGATATTTGTTCATAGATGCGTATTTAGAAGCAGTATGAAACCGACACCCTTAGGTGATCAAATGATTGAATAGAGACTTTTGTGTGTATTATCTAAGAGATCTTGAGTTTGATCTCTCTCGGTTGTCAATAGGGATGACTATTAGAGGATTATCCAGTCGTTAATTTCAGGATTTTAAGAGATTCATTGAGGTGCGCGTAAATTTACTCGAACATCCTTGGTTACCCAAAAAAAAAAAAAAAAATCTAAAAACACACTTATGAGTATCAACCTGGATTTTAATTTTTAAATTATAAAACATCCTATGATCGATCTATTCATTTGTTGCATTTGTGTTAATTTAGGGAAATTATAACCTTATATTTATTTAAATAAAAATTCATATCAAAGGATAATAACCTTGATATATACGCTATATCGATTTTATATAAAATTCGTTTAAATCCGTGACTACACATGAGTATGTACTGAACAGTGAATCCACATCAAAAGATATACAAAATCAAAAGAAAATGACTTTTATAAAAGAGACTTATATCTCATGATCACATATATAATACTTTGAAAAGGTTCTTAGTTTTCGTGTATAAAACTCTAGATTGAAATATATGCACCTAATTCCTATTACTCTTAATTAGTAGGACAACAAATGCTTAAAAGAATAAAATTTACCGCCAATCATCTCCTCTTCTCAAAGTACCATTATTTTATTAATAACAGTACAATATGTAAAGTACCAAGGAAATGTTTTACTGAAATTTCAAATTTCTGGACATGCATTTGTTAGCTTGTTGTATGTTTGTTCAATAGAAGACAAATTTTCTTTTAAGTTTGAACTTAATAATATTGGACTTAAAGTACGAACCACTATATTAACTGTGCAGCCGTACCATATGTTTGATTTGACTCATGTGAAATCAGCTAACTAGTTGATCATCTGAATTATCGGATAGGTTTGTACCTTTCTTATGTTGCGGGAATTCACACTAAAGATCACTTGAATATAGATTCATTATAGTGCAAATATTTATCGAAAAATAACTATTGAGATAAAGAAAAGGGTTATTGATTAACTATAAACGGATCTTTTATAGTTCAATATCATATATTAATTACTCTTGCACAAAGAATCTCCGTTAGGTTTATCAATTAATGACAAATTAACATTGTACAGAAGCTGTACTAACGTTGATCATAATTATTTAAGATCTCTTATGTAGTTAGAAACGTAGGTTTAGGATAATTTGAAATTATAAATAGCATGTTTTGATTTAAAATTGTAAAATATCTCAAAGAATACAATATATAATAGGACTAAAATGTATTATAATAGAGACACAATTATATTCATTCATATACCTTTCAATGAATTTGTATTGGAAGGTTCAACATTCCTACTGAAAGATTTTTCATAGAACTATAATATTTTACTGTAAAAAACGTTGATTAAAGCAAAGTCTTTGTAATTTATGGGAAATTGCAGAAAATGGTGGCAGTGTTCTCTGACTTTTCAAACAAAGAGAAACACAAAACAATGAAATGCTTCGTCCATCACATTCCGACAGTTATGCCTCTGCGTATTATAATTTATAACTACGTCATGCCATGCATTTCTAAGTTTCCTCTTTCTGTGTTTATTTTTATTTGTTGAATAATGTGCTTTCTTTCTTACGCGAGTGGCCCTGACAAAACTACACTCTCTTCAAAGCTATGGCTGCATTGAATCGCTCGTATCAGTTTCCCAACTTCAAGCCAAAATTTATTATTTTATTGGATATTTCTCCTTTTCTGCTCTACTGCAGACCTTGATTGGTCAGCCTAATCGACTATACATATATAATACTTTTGAAGATATCTTTTACCCAGAATTTTTCTTTCCTCCTGAAAAGAAAATTCAGTGACAGGAAATGTCAATAAAGTTTTACTTCTTTACTTCTTGCAAAGCTTTCAATAATGAAAACGTTTAGCCATGCATCGATGCACATATAGAAATCCAAGGAAAAAGAATTCCTCTCTGACTTGTAGAGATGAAAGAATATTGAGAGATGGTCAAAGATGGAATAAGAAAAGAAAAAGAAAAAGATTTATAAAATTCCGTTTCACCAAGGAAAAGAAACTAAATCACAAGTATAGGCAAACTAGAAATACAATAATACTATTCTTTCTACAATTTATCTCAACTTTTATATCTAAGTGATA